TATTTTATTTTATTTTATTTTATTTTATTTTATTTTATTTTATTTATTTTTTTTATTTATTTTTGGGACAGAGAGAGACAGAGCATGAACGGGGGAGGGGCAGAGAGAGAGGGAGACACAGAATCGGAAACAGGCTCCAGGCTCCGAGCCATCAGCCCAGAGCCCGACGCGGGACTCGAACTCACGGACCGCGAGATCGTGACGTGGCTGAAGTCGGACACTCAACCGACTGCGCCACCCAGGCGCCCCTGTTTTCTTTTTTAAATGTCAATAGTAACATAACAAAATACTTGAAAACGGAAGTTTTTCCCTCTATATAATTGTGGTGTTTCTGCAAGAGCTTTTGCCTTGAAACCAACAACAAAATGAAATCTCTTACTCCAGTGATCTCAACAGGTCCTTCCGTTCTGTATCTAGACTTCTCGGTGGAAGGAAGTGAAATGTTGGGATTCTTGCCTGACTTTATTTTCAACTGCCTTCCTGGGACTTAAGAATTCACAGTCTCCAGGAGTCCCTTAGAAATGGGTCCAAACACATTCTCATTAGTTGAATCATCATATAGAATTCCCAGGAAGTGAGCGTTTCCAGGATGGTTACCATCTCTGGGAACCTTCTGTTCTGACTTCTTTTTTGATTGACAACTGTGAGAAACATTTTAACTTCGGAACTTGGTTGCAAAAATCTCAGGGCTTGACTGACTGTCTACCTTGAACCCTGCTGTGAGCCTGGTAACACACTGCTGCTTTTGGGGTGTATGTACTTTACTTTTGGGGTATATATACATTGGAGGCAGAGAGACGATGTCCTAAATCAGAGTGCACAGCGTCCAATAAATTCAGAATGTGAAGGAGATTGTGGCCATGTTGGGGTCCTTTTGTGGCCCCAGTGTGGTGCAGTGCTAAAGGAGAGGCACCCTCCAGACTGGAGTCTTAGGAGCAGATACTGGCTTTTTGAGTTGTGGTTGCTTTTTCACAAACCGCTAAGGGTTTCTGTTCCTGATAATGTTACAGACTAAGAGGACATTTTGATTTCTTTTCCTCAGGTTATAAAATTGGTATTAAAAATTTATTGAGGCCTGAAGTGAGAGACTTCTGGGAGAAATTAGGAAGCTACGTGGCTCCTGAACAAGAAGGGGGTCATGTGGACCTCTTTGTACCACTCGGAGCATCCGGTCAGTTTTGAAAGGCGGTGGTCGTGCCTACTTTATAGTGATATTTTGTGGATTTTTGAAATGCCTTCAGTTCGTATGAGTCAGTCCCTTGTTCCTCTTTATTTCTTTTTTTCTCTTATACCTCACATACTCAGGTATTTAGGGGGCAAAGAGCTGCGGTTAGTTGTCAAAGTAACGAGGGGCAAGAACAGAAATAAAGTCACTAGTGGCAAGAGCCAGCCAAGAGCATTATTTGTATTTCTTCTGGAAAACATGGTAAAATCAGCCTCCACTATACAGGAGAAAATGCCTGACCAGCACAGAAACCATAATCGATCAACCTGAGAAAAGCCTCCCCGCTGTGTTCTGAAACTGGAAGGATTGAGCATGAACTTGGTGACCAAAGACCTTGAACTTGAATCCTAGGCATACCACTTTAGCTGTATGGCCTTAGGCAAGTTTGTGGACCTCTGTTTCCTCATACGAAAGTTAGGAGAATAGTATCTGACCTTACAGGACTTGTGAATATCAAAATAATGTAAGCACTTAAAAATAAATAATACAAATACTTAAATAATATTGGAAAATTAGAAACAGGTGAAGCGCTTGGTAAAGATGAGACTGGTTGCTGATCACCGAGGTTGCTGATAATGTTCAGCGCCCCTCGGTCCAGTATCAGTCACTATAATTCAAAGTTGATTTCAGTACTTGAAGAGAAACTTTAGAAACAATAAGACAGATTCACTTTCTAGACATCTATTAAATAAAAGCTCTGCCATCATGGGCTTATTTTTTTTTTAATTTTATATATTTTTTAATGCCAAGCAGAGCAAAGCAGAGGGAGTATAAGATTAAATTTTCTCGAACAGTTTCTTATTACCCATTCCTTAGGGAACTGTGAGTCTTAAAGCTCTGTCTAATCCTCAGATTTCACTGAACTATTCATACATGCAAAGCATGCCCCTGCCACAGTTCAACCAGGGAAAAGGGAAAAACAAAAGAATGGGAAGAGGGTTAGAGGAAAATGAATTACAAAATATTATCAATTTTTTTTTCTTATACAGTTATTATAATTATGTAATCTTAAGCATAGAAAATAGGTATAGAAAAATCTAGGAGGAAATACAACAAAATATTAACAGCATGTATCTCTAGATGAGTCTTTCAGATTTTCTACATTTGAAATCAAATATGGGTGGTGTGGGATTCCTCGGTTTAAAATCCGTGTGGGGCAGGTGGGAGTGGCAGTGGGGTGTGTATAGAAAAGGGTTTGCAAGGATGTACGTCAAGGTGTTAACAATAGATAAGTGATTTTTCTTTTCTTCTTTTTCTTTGATCTCTTATTTGTCCTGATTTTCTATAACGAACTAGTATTTTATAATGAGAGCAAAGCAAAAAATTTTAACTGAAGTAGAACAAAAAGAAAGGATTTGGGAAAGTAAAGCTTTGAACGGCTTGAAAATAAGGGCAAAAGGGGAAAAGAACAATAGATTTGGTGATATAAGAATTGTCTCGGGGCGCCTGGGTGGCGCAGTCGGTTAAGCGTCCGACTTCAGCCAGGTCACGATCTCGCGGTCCGTGAGTTCGAGCCCCGCGTCAGGCTCTGGGCTGATGGCTCGGAGCCTGGAGCCTGTTTCCGATTCTGTGTCTCCCTCTCTCTCTGCCCTTCCCCCGTTCATGCTCTGTCTCTCTCTGTCCCAAAAATAAATAAACGTTGAAAAAAA